AGTGCAAAGGGAGCATCTTTTGTTACAATATTTGGTCTCTGGTCCTCAGTTTCTGAAAACGGTTCAGGGCCATAAAAATGAAATGGAAGTCTTGTTTACATTAGTGAAGGTGACTGTGGACCCCACCCAATGGTGAGGGCTGGTTGCCAGGAGAACCAGCCATATGATCAAAGGATTGGAGCTTTTCAGACCCACCCCTGACTTCCGGGGAGAGGAGGGGGGCTTGAGGTGGAATCTGGCCCCAAGCTCAAGAGAACAGAAGCTCCTTTGTTCAGGACCTCACCCTATGTATCTCTTCATCCGGCTGTTTATCCGTATCCTTTAATATCCTTATATTTAAAGATATAAATCAATAATCTACTGAGTAAATGGGTTCTCTCGAGTTCTGTGAGCTATTTTAACAAATTAATCAAACCAGAGGCCATTGGCTCTGAAGTGGAGGGCAGTCTTGCCAGACTGAGCCCTTTACCTCTGGAATCTGATTCTATCTCTGGGTAGATAGTGTCAGAATTCAGTTGAATTCTTGGACACTCTGCTGGCATCCGAGAACTGCTTGTTGGTGTGGGGAAGCCTACACACACACACGTTGGAATTGGGTCCAGGAACCTAAAAGAAGCACCCAGTTGGGTCAACAAGGTACCTTCCTGAACCCTGAGGGAGACATAATACCATTAAGAATTAATCCCCATAGTGTGATGTTTAAGAGGCTTATTAAATCACAGCCTCAACACTGAGAAGAAAATGGAAGAAACCAGATATTTATGATGACTCAGATTTTTCCATTCACTAAATGTGGCTACTGTGCAGAGATACAACCTTTTGACAGAATTTTGTATCCAAGGTGTCTCACACTGTGAAGGCATGGATTCTGTGATTTAATTTCTATACTCTCACCACTACTCTCTTCATTTAAATAATGTAATGCCTCTCCAGGAAAGAGTTCCATCTCAACCCTACAGTTACACCCAGCCAATGCCACTCTCCTCCACATGAGCATGGACTCCAGCCTCTCATAAAATGGTCTCCTCAGAATCAGAATCCAGGCTTTTCTAGTGCCTATAACTGAGACTATGACCCAGGAGTGCTGAAAACCTGGACTTTCCTGACCTAGAATGGTAGAATGAGACAACTCCCCAAAACGTTTCTTCCAAACGTCAGGTAAGGTGCCTTTTACAATCTCCCAATTTCTAGGCACTCCTCATTGGTCCCCAGTGAAAAAGAAGCATTATCTGGTTGCTAACATCCTTAAGCCTTGACCTCCAGTTGGATCAAATTTTTATTGTGTGAAAAATACGTTGGTGGCCTGGTTTCCTTTTATCATCTACAAATCACAGTTACAACTTGGCTCAAGTATTAGCAGCTTTAGTGGAAACAAATCATTCTGTTCATGTTTGCTGAATACTGACATAGTGGTAAGGCTAAGCAATAAAAACTACTGCCCATACTTGTTGAGTCTGAGAACAAAGAAAATTTATTTTCCAATTATTCACTTTACATCACCATAAGGAAAGAAATCTGTGTGACAGCGAGGGTAACATGCATTTGCTAGTGGATGCCATTTAGTCTTTAAAAAGTGCTGGAGAATATCTCTAAATAGAATTCATTATAATTATCTTGAGATATTAACAGTAGGCAGCTGCCAAAATATTTTACAAATAGAGCAGTAATACACTACTGTTACCTAATCCAGCTGTGTTTGGCTACTTGGTGTTAAATCTCATTCCTTCCATGAGATAAACAACTTATTAACCACAGAGGAACTAACAAGATTTTAGCTTCTCCTAAGGGTAGCGCTCTAAAGACTTACGTCAGTTAAACGAGTTCCCTTCTGACTATTTGTTCACAAACTTGCTTCATGAGATGGTGAGGACTCAATGAGTTAATGCACAGGAAACCCCTGGAACAGTGCCAGCCACATAAGAATTGCTCAATGCTGGCGATAAAGAAGTCAGGACAGAGTAGGAACTTTCTAACAAAACATGCTCTAAAAATTACAACTCCTGATAAATATGCAAATTCCACAGTTGAAATTTTAATGTCTAGGTTTTATTAGATCTCTTCTTATTCATATGGCTAATTTAAGCACAATGAATGTATGCAAAAATTTTTCCTCAAAACATTGTAATTACTCATATAATTACTCATATAATTATGTATGAGCTGTATTTACTCATATAATTCAAGAAAAGACTCTCTATTGGGACTCAGCCATTTAGGTAGATATAGGCAGGACCATACAATTATTGTAATCGACTTCGTGGTACTTAACAAACTTAGGAAACAATGGAAGTGGATGGATTTAGAGATAAAACGGGAAATTCTGAGACCTACAACAAAAACTGAGGCTTTAGTATATAACTGAACTTGGCCCACACTTTGCCTAATATAGTTTTATCCGTGTTGCACACAGTGTAATCATTGGCATCTTTTTTTTTTTTTTATAAAATGAATAAATCGTTTGAGAAGGCTTAAGGAAAAGTGAATGAGGTTAGGGGAGTGGGCTGAATTTTCTAAAGAGAAACAGGTTGGCCAATCAAAAATATTTCAAAATGGTAAAGTTACATTTTTCAAAGACTGCTCTTTGGTCTGTATTTTCTATCTCCAGAATGTCAAAACAAAATGCTAAGGCTAAATCAGGGTGTAGCTGTGACTCACTGATAACCAACTTGGGAGCATTTTGTTTTTTTAACTTATGGAAAATATTTCCCAGCAAATAAAAGAAAAAGCAAAGCTGTAGAAAACGGGTAGGGCCTCCTTCAAAGAGCATGTGATAAAGAGAAAAGTGCTAGGCATGCAGTTAGGTGATCAGAGTTCCAGCTGAGGGATAGTATCACCAACAGCCGGCCAGGAAGCTCTTAAATGCTGTGAATCAACTGTAATATAAAGGGCTTGAAGACGAACTCTGAATTTTCCTTCCAGAAGTAAAATGCTAGGGTTACATTTTTAAAGTAGGAACAACCTGAATAAAAAGCAAATAATTTAAAATTTTAACTCAGTAGAAAAGGAATTTTAAAAATATATGAAAAGTCAGTTGAGAATTTTATTGATTTTGGCCCAAGGCCACTCTGTAACACTGACTGGGTGGAAGGTTGAAAGAATATAAAGGTTGTGGGTGGGGTGTTGCAATTAGAAAAAGTAAATGCTATGTTTAGAATAGACTTAAAAACAGAGTTTGAATGGGCTAAAAAACTATAATTATAGAATATAAGGCTTCAGTAGCTATAGTTAATTATGGCAGGCAGAGTTCCTGGTTGGATCATTCAATAAATATTTGTTTAGTGAATGAAGTGAACAAATACATAAGTGAGGATTTGACAGGAACTAAAAAGGGAAAGGATTTTAGACACTTTAAGGAAAACAAAACAATATATAACAGGACCACAAGCGGAGGACCAAAAAGTTAGTGCTGGCTTTTAACAGTAGGAAAATTACAAAAATAAAAAATCATCACCAATGTCTTGAGTTGTCTATTTTCCTAGAAAGTGGGAAGGCATGAATTATCCATAAATAATAATGATTGGGGAAAGGTATAGATGAATGAGGTAATGGGGATAAATCTCAGACCTTATTGTAGGTGGTTTAAGTCACTAAGTAAAGTCTGCAAATGATTTATAAAGCACATACCTGCATAAATTAAAAAGAAAAAAAAGTAATTGTATTATTAGACTGGATGTAGATGTTTAGTGGATAAAAATTAATATATATATATATATATATTTTTTTTTTTTTGGGGAGGAAGATTAGCTTTGAGCTAACATCTGGGCCAATATTCCTCTATTTTGTATGTGAGATGCCACCACAGCATGGCTTGATGAGTGGTGTGTAGGTCCACACCCGGGATCTGAAACTGTGAACCCTGGGCTGCCAAAGCGGAGTGTGCGAACCCAACCACTATGCCACTGGGCCGGCACCCAAAATTAATATTTTTATAATAAAACATATAAAGCAGATGTTAACTAGATATTTAAAGCAAATATTAACCTAGCATAGAAATGATCATCTTTAATGATGTAGCTTTTCATATAATATATTTATGTCACATTTATATATTTTCAAAGGTTTAGAAAACCTTGATAACAGGTCACAGGCTACATACTTTTATTGCCAAAAGTTAGTTTTTGGTACTCACAGATTGAGCTTGTCATGTTTATGTGGCAGTCATGTTTCCACAATACCAATTATAGCAAAATCAACTTCATGAGTAAATTTGAAATGCAGAAACAGTTGCTGATAAGATTTTAAAGGAAGTCACACCAACCAACTGATGGAAGTCATTTTATATGCTATGTGTTATCAGAAGCAAGTTATAGTGCAAGTTTTAATACGGTGGCTCTCTCACAGAGAGAAAAAATATTTCCATCTTGTGCACCAATTTATTCTAAATTGGAAAAATATTTGGTGATCAAAAAGGCAGAAAAGAGGAACATGAAAACCAAATTTGTAACAAATCCAGTGTTAATGATTAACCAATTAACCTTTCTGAAAAGCTTTATTTAATCTTTATTAGAAGCAAAGGGAGCTTAGATGACAGTGTGAGTCTGAAAAGGAGTGGTTGCCTGTTCCTGGTGCTGGGCTTCGGGAGAGAGGGGACAAATAGCTTTGGGGGCTCTGAAAGCAGGGGGCACTGGGTGTGCTTCTTATCCCAGACAGACCCCAGAAGAGAGGAGGCCTGGAAAGATTCAAGCAACCCCTAGAGCTCCTCAAAGTCCCAGGATGGTCACATCAGAGCAGGAGCCCAGTTTCCACACTCCTGGGAGTAGTGGGGAAGTGTCAAGGATCTTAGCCAGCCTCACTGAGTTTCCCCCAGAGTTGTGCTGGAACAGCACAGTGACCTCAGGGTACCCAAGGAGAGCACAGAAGAGGCAAGGAGAGATGTTGAAACTGAAGGGGACTTGCAGACGGAATTCGCTTGAACTGGACCAACACTGAGGATGAGGCAGGACAACGCTCATCTCTAAAGATGCCTGCACAGACAGAGGCCACCAAGACAAGGTGAGCACCCCCTACCCCAGGCCTTAGCACTTTGTAGGGAAAAAGGGTTAAATTAAATATTTCTGACTAGCGATCTGACTTAAGTTTACTTGTTCATAAAGTGCTCCCTTTATAAGAATGATACAGATATGGTAAGGTAAAGGTATGATATGACACGGTAACGGTACCTAGGAATTGAGAAGAGGCAGAGATTAATAAAAAATGCTGGTTATAATGTAAAATAATCTAATTAAAACATCAAATAGCTGACAAGATAGTAAGAAACTGCCAGACCAAAATCTGCAGGAAAGCAGGAGACCAAGAGGTAAGCAGGGAGACACTTTATCCTGATGGGGGCAGATGTGAACTGATTTTGACAGCCTCACAGAGGAGGTGAAACAGAAATCAAAGCCAGAACCCACCCAAGTGGGGAAAATAAAAAGGACCTCCTTATATTAAGCTCAGGCTCCTAAGAGTCACACCTCAAAATAAGAGTGAACCAGAATAAACCCACCTCCTACCCAAGACTACAAGGACAGCTGTCTTGGCATTGAAAGTACATGTAAGGGGGGTGGGGTCCCTGAGAAGCTGTATTCACAAACTGGCCATTGTGTGCAAACCTGCAACTCAAATTCACATCACCTGGGTGGTCTAAAAAACTTTAAGAGGTAAATTTAAGTTAAAGTGGTCTCAGACTAGTAGTGCCACCACGCACCTGGCAGAAACAAAAGCAAATCCTCTGAAAAAAAAAGGCCATTCATCCTAAGCTTCAAAGAAATCCTACAAGTAATTTTTTAGTGGTCATGACAAATACCCAGGCAAAAATAAGTGAGCACACAAAAACAGACAGATAAGAGGGGAGAGGAGGAAATCTAAGAAAAATATAGATCCTAAAAACAAATTCATTCTCTAATGAATTCTGCAGCCATTTATGCAACAATATTTATTGAGCACCTACTAAGTGCCAGGCTCTATGCCAGGTTGCAGGAAACACATGCCGTTTTAGCTGTCATATGAACAAATCACTCAGGGGATGATGAGAGGTTAGTTGAACTACCATTATGTTTCTTTACCTTTACTTTCTGTATTTTCCTAAGACTTGCAAACACAAGGACTAATGAGTGCCCATTACTATTTTTAGTGATAGATTTTGAAATAAATAGTAATCTCCTAGGACTGAGATTGACATCGTTGATTCCTTTCCCAGACTCTCATTCCCTGAAAGTTCCATGTTCGAGTTAAGCCTAATCCCCTAAGCAAACCACAGAGCCACGAGCATTAACAGAAACGTGATGAAAGACATAGATTATCTCGGAGATGTAAAACTCAGAGTTAACATTTATCTTTAATTGTAAATGTTCAAACAGATGATCTTGGAATAATAGCACGAACTCGGTCAACATTAATTTTTTTTTTTGGCTGAGGAATATTTGCTCTGAGCTAACATCTGTGCCAATCTTCCTCTATTTTGAATGTGGGTCGCCACCACAGCATAGCCACTAACAAGTGGTGTAGGTCCGTGCCTGGGAACTGAACACAGGCTGCTGAAGCAGAGTGTGCCAAACTTAACCAGTAGGCCACGGGGCTGACCCCCAGACAACATTAATTTTAAGGCAGATCTGGAAACAGCTGAAGGCACAGGAAGGGTGGAGGAGTTAGTCCAATATTGACTTACATATGGATTGCCTTTTCTGGCCAAAGTTCTTAAAATCTTACTGATATTTGGGTTACTCTGGTGTGTCCACACCAATTACCAACCTTTGTCTTCTATCCAGCTTTACACAATAAGGATTCAAGTTGTCAGCTCTATACTTATGCATTTGTTTGCTCTTATTAAATATTCTGGTGGTTGTCATTTACTGAACCTTCAGAACGGTATGACCTGTGCTAGCTCTTTTCTCCTTGCTTGCCAAATCGTGACAGTGTGGTGTAATAATAATAATAGCGACTGCGTATAGGGGACTTACTCTGGACCTGGAACTGTGCGAGACACTTTTTAGGAGTTATTTACTCCTCACAACAATTGTAAGGGGTAAGTCATTATTACGCCCATTTTACAGATGAGGAAACTATGGGCCAGAGAGGGTACATCCTGAAGCAGAGATATAGAGGGAGCAAAAGCATGAGCTCAAAGTTATACAGACCTGAATTCAAATCCTGTTCTGCCCCTGGCATTTCTCCTCCCCTAGAGATGAGGCTCAGTTTTCTGGGGTGAAGGCTGCCGTGGGAATAAAATGAAATACAGTGTGTCTGAGGGCCTGGCCTCTGGGAAGTGCTTGTTTCTCCTTCCTTCCGATGGTTTCTTATTTGGAAATTCATGTCTTGCCTTAGGCAACATCTTCAAATAGTTTTAAAAGTAGTTACTTCCAGGAAAATAACGTACAGAATTTTTTTTTTTTTTTTGGTGAGGAAGATTAGCCCTGAGCTAACATCTGTTGCCAATCCTCTTCTTTTTGCTGAGGAAGATTGGCCCTGGGCTAACATCCATGCCCATCTTCCTCTACTTTATATGTGGGATGCCTGCCACAGCATGGCTTGATAAACCGTGAGTAGGTCTGTGCCCGGATCCGAACCTGTGAACCCCGGGCTGCCGAAGCAGAGTGCGCAAACGGAAGCACTATGCCACCGGGCTGGCCCCCTAGAATTTTTAAATAATAAAGAGGTAGATAATCTCTTATGTTTATGGAGGGCTTTAAGTTTTCAATACCCTTTCGCTCCTTCCCAACCATTGGTTTGTTTGATCCTTTGGAAAATATTGAATATCTCAGTTGACTGTTTTAGACTGGCTGTCTCCGGGACATAATAACGTTGTCTGTGGGCCTTGAAAAATGCTAATCCAGGAAACGATCCAAGAAGAAAGGACCAGGCCTTTGCCTTTCTTTCCAGTCCCCTGAGGCAATCTGCCCTTTTCCTTCTCCCAGGTATCTGTGTGTGTGTGTCAGGGTAGTTGAAGGGTGGCCAGGGTCGGAGGTAAGTCAAGGGTGGGAGGGCGGGATGTGACACATAGCTGTCAGGTTTCCATGGTAAGGAGGCCTAGCACAGAAGGAATGTGCTACCTTCTCTTATAAAAGAACATTTCATTTTTTTCTCAAGCTTGTGAGAAAATCATCCTACATTCTCTCATTTAAACCAAAACTATGTACTCTTCTTAGAGTGGTCTGAACTGAAAGGCTATATTCATCCAGAAGGTGTGGCAAAAAATCCTGGGAAAGATGTATTCACCCCAGTAGACCGCCTGGCACACAGTAGGGCTCAGCAAAGATGTGAAGTTACTGCAGTAACTGCGGTGTGAACCACTGTCTCTGTTGACAATGCAGAAAATAATGTGATGATTCCCGGGGGTCCCTGAAAAGGCCAGCCCAACCACACTCCTAGGAGAGCTTCCTAGATTAGCAAGACTCACTTCTCAAATAATTGATTAGTTCAGAGGTCACACACGTGGACAGATTTTGTTTTGGCCTGCAAGGTTTCAAAATACATTTTGAGTTAACATTTAAAGCTTGAGAGATTTCATCTGCATTTACAGCTGGCTTGCTTTACCCAACGGTATCTACCTGGCCCTTTTGGGAACTTGTGCTGGTGCCTGGATTATAACTGTGTTGGCTAAATAAAAGTTCAGAAGTCCTGTTAGCTGTTTCAGGTGTTAATTTAATCCTATACACAACACACACCCCCCCCCAAACAAAAACAGAAGGTTCACAATATATGAATACAAAAACCAAACAAACCTTCCGGCCCTCCAATTTCTCACTCTCTCAGAACTGACTGTGCGGTTCCCACGATCGGTTTGTAAAGCCCCTGTTCTCAAACCCTCCACTTCACGGGCTCTTGCTGGCTAGAGGCATGAAGGGGAAAGACCACCTGCCCCTTTATTACTAATGCTTGAAAAAGCCCCGCATCACAACTGGGAAGGAATTCTTGATGCAAGCAGGGAAAAAGAATTAAAACTCCGCTGATACAAAAAGCTACTAAGTGCCACAGCAGCTTGTCATTTAGAAGATACCATTTAGAATTTTAGTGAAATTAAATTAAATAGGAACAAAACACAAGTGATTTTTACTTGACCATATTTTAAAACATATTACAATACTGAGAGTCTCCCACTTTAAAATCACTCCTATAAAAGGCAGCTGGACTCCGACCATTCTCCCTTTTCAAATTGATGTTGCCTTACTCCTGCTGGTCCAGTGTGGTCCCCTGAAACCCGAGAGCCTCCACTCCCTTTCCCTTGCGCTCAAGCCCACAATTCTAGCCCCTGCATGATCCCTCCACTCTCCTTCCCAACTCTTGTTTTTCTCCTCTCTCCCCCTGCTCACCACAAATACACTTCAAAGATATTTCAGTGATAAAAATTATATAATAGTATATAAGTGATAATACTATTATACACTACAAATACATTACATTACTAATACATTACTACTAATAATAGGTGCTCAATAAATGTTTGTTCACTATGTGCCAAGCACAAGTCTAACTATTTGAGAGAGGTCACAGGATTCAGTAACCACCACAGTCTTCTGAGGCTTGCAGTGTAGTATTAAAGATGAGTGCTCAGCAGTCAGACTGCAGGTTGGGCTCTTAAGGCTCGTAGACCACCTCTGGTGTGGCCCAAATGCTTCCTACAAAGCGCCTTCCAACTCTAAGAGTCTATGATTACTGCTGCCATTTTTAAGGATGCAAGATTTATAGGAGTGCTTATTGCTGAGGAAAGGAACTTTTCTCTTTGGCAAGCCCTCTGTTTCCATAAAGGGGATGGCCCAGATTAATTCTGGATGAAACTGAGCCTTCTCAAAACAGTCCCCTCACCCTACTCCACCAAGCAGAGGAGTCCCCCAGGACTGAACTTGAAGTGCCACCCGATGCCAATAAGGAGCTGAATTAACCTAGAAGGTTAAATCCTGCCAGTGTAGAAATGCAATTTCCTCCAGTAAGTCTAGATAATTGCAGTTTCCTCTATGAACGTCTGTCATTAAAGTCCACTCCAAGGAGGTTCCACGGATAAAACCCCAATGACTGTCGCTGACGTGTGCCCAGCGACCAGACCTGGCAGATCCGGAGTCAGCTCAACCCACCACCCGCTGGACCTACGCGGAGATCATACAGAAGAAAAGGCGGGTCTGGAAAAGCTCTTGGGGAAGAAAGGAAATTTCCTGTCTCTGGTCCTTTCTCTTTATCGGGACCCACTTGCAAGCTCGGGAGGTCTAACCCGAGCGTGACGACTACCAGGAGCGCAGGTTCCCAGAGGCGCGGGGTGGAGAGGGACTGCCAGGAGAGGGCTGCCCCGGGAATCCCGGCCGAGCCTCGCCCTCCTGCTTTCCCTCCTCCACACCCTCCTCGTCCTCCCTCTTCTCCTCCTCCTCCTCCCGGCGCCCGAGCCTCCGCGCCGCGGCTGCTCGCCTCCTCCCGGGAAGGGTGGGATCCAAGTGTCCCGGCGGGGTGGGCGCCGCACAGTTGGAGGGGAGGAGGAAGGCAGGCGACTCGAAGCCTACCGTCTTCTGCTTCTTGACCCCCGACATACTGGCTGGCTGCGGCTCTACCCGGCGAGCTGGAACTCGGAGCCCGGCTCCTGGGAGCAGAGGCGCTAGGACGCACGGATGGCGGTGGCGGCGGCAGCGCCTGCTGCCGAACTCCGGAGAAGGAGGTATAAAAAGGCTCCGCAGACACGTCGCACTTCCCTTGACCAGCCCCCTCCTCCTACTCCTCCTCCCGCCGCGCTCCTCTCCGCCCCGTCGGCTCCGCCAGCAGCGCCCAGCCCCGGGGACCCGGCCGCCTGGGCGGCGTCCCCGGCGCGGCTCCCTACTCGCGGGAGCTGCTCCGTCAGCCCAGGTCGGAGGCAGGACCTTGCGGCCTGAGGGGCAGACTGGCCTGCCCCGCGCGCAGCCCCGGGTCAAGTTCGCCCTCGCCCTTTCCACTCCCAGCGGGCCCAGAACGTCCCCTTCTTCCCACCCCACCCCAGCGCCTCTTCAAGGAAGCCTTCCTGCCTCTGGGACCTAAGAGCTAACTTGGGTAAGGGCAAGGATGCTTGAAACCGCCAGGCTTGTTGGCAGGATCCGCAGCGGGCACCGACGCCCAGCTCGTCTTCATTTGCAGTAATAGTAGCGATGGCTAGTTAACATTTATTGATCCTCACTCTGCACTCTGCTGAGCTCGCCTTAAGCCTCACGCGTCCCCTGCCCCAGGCATCAAGTCCTACTTTCTCCCCATTTTACCAATGTAGCAATGGAGGCTTTCAGACTTTCTCAAGTCTCAAGGTTATATTCCAAGAGGGGGATTCAAACCCAGGCTGTCAGCCTCCGTAGGACAGGCTTTCTACACCAGAGTCATATAAAATCACGAGGCGCACTGCTTGCCTGCGCTTGATGCACCAGGCATGGTGCTCAGGGGGGTACACGCGTTCACTCCTTTGGAGCTCACGATGTTTTCCTCATGTTACAGATGGGCCAGCTGAGGCACTGCTCCTCCTCGCACAGTCACTTAAGCAAGGGCAGCCCCAGAAAATGACCTGTGGTGGCCCAGCGACTTGTTTCAGTCCATCCCCCAAACTACTCCCATAATGCTTCCGTGTGTTCAGTAACTAGGATTGGCGCTGTGGAGAAAGAAAACAGGAGGCCCAAGTTCAGATGATTTATGGCCTAGACCCTAGGGCTCCAAGGTTTTATCGGAGTACAGCATGAGGCAACTTTCTTAAAGAACCCAATGTCTGGGACAAGCAGAGGAGAGAAACTATGGTTAGTGACAAGCACCTTGAGGACAGTTACTGGGTCTCACACCACTTTGTACCTTAACTCCTTGCATAATGGCACAAACAGATCAATAGGACAGTGCAGGCTAAAGAACCATGCAGACACACCAGGGCTGCCCTGCTCATACCAACTTGGGTCGTCCTTCTGTGAAAGGGCTAGAAAAGTTACATCCTAAGGAGGTGAGGGATGGAACTTTTCTTTCATACCTAATTGTATTTCTGGAAGACTGCCAGCTTTCCAGACAGACACCTATAAAGATCTGAGTATTCAGTGACTGCCCTTCTCCATGGGAAGGTGGGAAAGAAAAATATGTCAGGAGTCAAAAACCTTAAAAGGCAGCCTGCTTGTTTGTACAGTTTGGAATGTCAGTGTATTTATTTTCTTACTCATTTTGAATAAAGTGCCACCACTCCCTCCAACTGTGAGCAGCTAGGGGGCAAACACTGGGTTTGAGTTTCTGTTCTGCACACAAACTAGCACATTCTGAATTTATGTGAAGTGTCAATAGTAACATCCCATTCTAATTTCATTGGAAAAATAGTTTTGTATCAGTTCCAACCATATCTTGGATCCTGCTCTAAGACAGAAGGTAAATTAAGTGTGGATGGAGAAAAACAATTTGCATGACTGTTTTCTTTTTTTTTTTTTTATATTGCCTCTAAAAACGCTGTATTCTTGAAACAGAAGGAAGTTAAGGGCAAATCCCTAAAGGCTACTTCCTGGAAAAGAAATATAGATTGTTTAGACCTAGGAGAGGTTTTGAGATCATTTGTCCAATTTTCCTATCCCTGTATTTTACGTATGGGCAATGTAAAACCGGTGCTGAGGGAGGGGAGGTAATCTGACCCTAGTCGCTAGTTAGGGGCAGAGTTGAAACTCAAACCCAGGTCAGCCAACTCCCCATATGCTCTGTCCACTAAATCACTCAGCCTCCGGGTCAACTGTTTCAAGACCCCATGATAATTGTAAGCTGGACTGTTTATCTTGTTTTAGATTTAATTAATTCTCAAATAGTACTTCAGAACACATATTCTTTTACTACTTCCAAAGAATTGTGAAATAGGAGGCCTCACCTCCCTTGGACCCAAGCTGGATTGTTTAAGATCCTTAGCATCACAGATCATCAGTTTAGTTGTAATTCAGCATGGTGACACTCTGAAAGTAAAATAATCATTTTTGTTTCCCCCAGGGTCTTTCTTTTAAAGGCAATGTCTTGAATTCTTTTTCAGCTCATTACCCTCTCGTTCCTAGGAGAGTACATTCCTTCTGGAAAGATATGAGCGGCTAGCAACTTAATTTTTGGAGTCTGATTTTAGCACATCACAACTGGAAGAAGATTCATTCAGGGGAAGGGAGGAAGGATTGAGGTCTGCCCACTCATTTGGACACAGTCTCCATAACTTTCTCAGTAGTGTTTCCTCCAAGACGCCACTGTAAAACACTGTGGCCTACATTGTACCAATTTATAATCCTTGATACTACTCACAAATTTGCATGAGGGATTTTTTTCTTCCTATTCTCTTCCTTCCAGAACTGGCTGGGCTTTAATAATTAGCTTAATGAGGTGGTGATTACTACTTGGTCTTTTTATTGTTTAGATAAGATAGAATCAGATGAACAAGAGAAATACATATACAAAGAATGCCAACATTAGTGAGATGTGTATGCCATAGGTTCTCCAACACGTTTTGGGAAACATCACATTTTAGGGGATCTAGCTTGGAGGCACCTCCCCTGGATGGTCCTTCCAAAGGAGTGCAGCTACATTGCCCCTTAGTGGCTGTAATGCATAAAAGAAACCTAATTGCTGAAATGCCCCTGTAGAGACATAAGTACAGCAGTTCCCTTGGGTCAACAAGCCCTTAGTGAAAGTCCTGTAGGATCCAAGCACTCTTCCCATGCAAAGGTACTACCAAGAAGAGCAAGATGTGATCCCTGTCATCAAGAAACTCACAACCTAGTGAAGGAGACAGACTCTGCCCCTTACTCCCACCCCAGTCGTTTCAATATAATACATGACTTGGACAGTTGAAAGGGATACATGCACGCCTTAGACATTTTATTTTGACTTAAAACACATGCACTTCACTAATCTTTGATGTAGGGCTAAAGGCTTCCATTGTGGTATGAGTATGCTGATGGGAATTCCAAAAACCACTTTAAAGTGGTTTTAAAGTGGAGTTAAAAATTAAAGGCATTTAAACAATCTGAGAGGGAGCTTCCTTCAAGATTGAAACATACCCCTCCCCCATCTTTGTCTGTTCTCTTGCCTACACGTAATGCAACAGTACAGTTTTTAGCAGGTTATCTTTCCAAAACATCCATCCATTTTCACAGAAAACACAACTCTTTTTTTTTCATTCATATGCTATTCATAAGTCACATCTAACCAAATTACTTTATTACACTAACAGGTACAAGTAGCATAAATAGGTTTGGGAACAAACACAATGGATCTCAGTAAGCATCCAACTTAGGGAGTGGGGGTGCAGAAGTGTATGGACATTCCAGTCCATCCTACTGTTGAAGAACATTCCTTTTGCTGTGGGCATCAGTCATTATCTTTTCCAGAAGAAATGGAGAGCATAGATTAAACTGGCCAGTTAGTTAAAAGAAAGGATCTTGTGGGAGCACAGAGGAGGGACATCCAGTTCAACTTTGGGAGGAAGGAGAATGGAGATAGATGTCAGGATTTCTTGGAGAAGAGGATACCCTGAACTGAGACTTAAAAGAAGGGTAGAGTTTTGCCAGCTCTCTCCTCCCCAAAGTGGGTGTGTGTGTAAATTTGAAAATTTAAAGGCAGAGAGCCGCATCAAATAATATGGTATGTTCAGAAAATTATAAGTATCTGTATCGCTGAGTTTAGGAGATATAAAAGAAGAGTGGGAGAATGTTGTAATAAAAGACATGCCATGTACAGTCAGGCAGCAACGTGATTTTGCATGTTCTCCATGCTCATCAGAGTGTGTTAGCGATGTGGCTGGCCTTCCATTTGTTCACTAGTCATTACAGGACACTTCCATGTCCGAAGATGAGAAGTCACTGTCCTGAGGTGCCCATAGTCTGGTAAGGGAGATGGATATATACACAAATAATTCAAAGGGAATGTGATAAGTGTTGGAATCAAGGGATATTTGAGATAATAAGGAAAAAGCACAAAAAAAGAAGCAATGACTGGTGGACTATGAAGAGATTCGTATAGGTGGTGACAATTTAACCTGAGTTCCCAGGAGAAAAGAAAGCTAGATAGCCAGTTAATTTGTCATCCTACTAATGGCCCAGGCTGCCTGGGCTGATGTTACCAACCGCATGAAACATTCACCTCCTACCCCGCCATTCCCTGTGCCTCCTTCCTGAAGAGCCCCAGCCTGTCACTAAAGACCCGAGTAGAGCAGAGAAAAACTGCTGACGGCCAGACTGCACAGCAACACCGACAGATCACCAAAAGGCTGCCCACAGTTTAGGCAGCCAGAGGAAAAGCCCACATACCCAGGCAAAAGTTATGCTCTTCTACCATTTCTTGGGTAGAATCCTGTCCAAAGATTTTGTCTACTCGTTGTATTAGTTTAAAGAGAAGTACATTTATTAGTATATGCATACATTACACAAAATAGAAACAATTTATATTAAATTAAATAGAGTATTTAGGGAAATTCACTCCAAAATTCAACAAACCTCAGTGAAAACAAGTTACATATGTTTAATGTCAGGCAAATCAGTTACTTCAGTCAATTAATTGGCTGAATTTTCAGCCTTCAGTAGCTTCTTTTAAAAGATGTTTAGCATACTACAAAGCAATAGTAATCAAAACAGCTTTGTACTGGTACAAAAACAGACGCACAGATCAATGGAACAGAATTGAAACCCCAGAAATAAAACCTCACATCTATAGGCAGCTAATCTTCGACAAAAGAGCAAAGAACATACAATGGAGAAAGGAAAGTCTCTTCAATAAATGGTGCTGGGAAAACTGGACAGCCACTGGCAAAAGAATGAAAGTAGGCCATCTGCTTTCGCCATACACAAAAATTAACTCAAAATGGATCAAAGACCTGAAGGTGAGACCTGAAACTATAAAACTCTTGGAAGAAAATGTAGGCAGTACGCTATTCATC